TACTTCAAAAGCCCAGAAACATTGACTTATTCGACGTATTTTCATAGTTTATGGGTTTTTAGCTGCATTGAAAGTGAAAAACCATCTAGAAACTTGGATAATTCAGCCAAAGAGAGAGCGACAGAGAGAAACAGAGATAGAGAGAGAGAGAGCGAGAGAGAGAGAGAAACAGAGAGAGAGAAAGAGAGAGAGGAAGTGAGAGCGACAGAAAGCGTGAGATGGAGATTGAAGAGACAGAGAGATAGGGCGAAGAGAAGTAGAGAGAGAGAGAGCGCGTGAGAGAGAGAGAGAGAGAGAGAGAGAGAGGAGAGATAGAGATAGAGAGAGCCTGAGGAAACCTAGAGTTGTCGAGAGATTGATTGGAAGAAGGAGGGAACGAGGGAGAGATAGGGAGAGACCGGAACAGCGAGAGAGACCGGAAGAGAGAGAGAGAGAGAACGAGAGCAAGCCAAAGACTTACTCAGAGTTGCTGCTGATATTCAACCCGAGTCCGGTGAGATCGTAGCCGATGGCCATAGAGAGTAGATGTTGCTGCTCGGTGGCCATCCTCCAGTACGTCACGAAACCGGCCATACCAAACTGGTCGTTCAGCATCCCCGGCGGAATATTCGTCACCTCGCCTGGAAATCACGTAATGTTGATTTTCAGATGTTTTGAGGTGTTATTTAAAAGCTATAAATCTATAAATAGACTCAAATAAATATTTATTTCTGCTATTAAGTTTTTTTTAGTTGGGCCGGAATTGGTGGTGACCATCGATTGACTGGCGCGACAGGAAGGGGCCGCCCAAAATATGCGGGTAGACGGAGAATTAATTGAGAAAATAGCGACCGGGCAGGCTAGCAGAGATTCTTGGGGGGAATTTCGATAAAGTTAAATTCAAAAATATGGACATTTTGTTCATCCTAAAACCGTAAAAATCCGCAAGGGTAAGCTAGCAGAGATTGCTTGCGAAAATTGCATTTTTGCTTGTCGGCGTTGGGCAAACTAGCAGAGATTTTTGTGGGATTAGAGCCGCTTGAAACTCTGAAAAAGTCTTGGACAGGCCAGCAAAGAGCCATTGAGAATTTGAGGTTTGCGAAGTTGAGGAGAGTGGCAAACTAGCAGTGATTTTTGCGGAATTTCCATGAATTTTGTGGCCGGCTGAGAGCAAGCTCTTGAGGAAATGAAATTATGCGGAATATAAGGATTAGAAAATTGACAGCGTTTCTTGGGGAATCATAAAACTAGGAGATGGGCTCCCGGGCAATCTCGCAGAAAACATTTGAGAAAATTTAAGGTAGCGATGTTCTCAAAACAGCCGAGTAAGCTAGCAGAGATTCTTTGGGCAATTCACTGTATCAAAAACACGATAGATGCTGAGCTGATAGAACTGCTTCGACTATGCTAAGCGTAAAAACTTTACAATCTGGATTATAACGATGCAAGAAAAATTGATTTTTCGACCCAAAAAGGCCGCTTTTCGCCAAAATTTCAACTAGAAATCTTTTCTAAGGTTTTTTGGATGTCGAAAGATAGAAAGCAGTTGTAATGTACGTAAATTTAAGTGAAGACACTATTATAACACTAACTATTACGCCACTAGGCGTTTCTGGACTAAACAAAAAAAGTTGGTTTCCCCGCTCGATCTTGCGAAACAACCCGTTTTGGAATTTCCTTCTGCACAATTCATTTTTGTTCTAGGTTGTGTCCACCGACTTTGTCGGCGACACTCGCTCGTCCATCTTCGATGCCGGAGCGTGCATCAGCCTCAACCCGCACTTCGTCAAGCTGCCGCGTGGTACGACAACGAGTATGGCTACTCCAGCCGCGTCGTCGCCCTCATCTCTCATATTGCCAAGGCTTAAATTAATCTACTATCCCATACTGTTTTTCTTAGCTTGTGATTTTGTGCATAGTTCGCAGTGAATTCAATACAGTGTGCTTCTCGAATACTTTATGCAAATGATGAGGGCAGGGGGATCGCGGGCGCGAAAGCGAACTAGATGACCAGAAGTTCTTGGAGATTGCTGGGGTGGTTGAGTACGGATGCAAATCAGCAGAGCCCGAGTGGGAGGCATATGGAGAACGGGTAGGGGTATCGGGTTTACGGGGCGGGGGCAGAGGTGGAGGGCGTGGTGGGCGATTCGGCAGCTGGGGTCGGCGCAGCGGATGGCGCCGGGCTGCTCTCCTCCTCGGCGGCTTCTGCATCGGTGCCGGTCTTCCCCTTGGAGAGCGCCATCAGCTCTCGGTTTTTGACGCGCAGCCCCTTGGTGTATTCCGCCATGCGCTTCTTGTGCTGGTCGTGCTGGAAAAGTGGTGTTGCTTCTAGAAATCTTATTTTTTGGGCCCAGCCAGTTATCTCGTAAAGACATCATTGCCAACTGACCAACGGGTCCGCCCAGCCGTTTTTCCAGCCAACGTTTCGGCCGAACGCTTTGCCGGCTTTGAAGACGCCGCACGAGGTGCGATCCTCAGCTTCAGCCTTCCTGCAAAATTTGGGCTAATTGGCCGGCGTGCCCAACACGACATACCTGGCTTTGACCAGGCCATTTTCGTAGGCGAGCATTCGGAGTAGTGCAACGATCCCGGTGAGCCCTCCTATAAGTACATCCGGAGCTTATCTTTAGCACAATTTCTTCGCTTTTAGAGGTATTATAATATATTTCTACCAGAGTGCTATATTTCGTCGATTTAAAATGTTTTGCTTTTCTTGGCGGAGCGTGAGCAGCGTGAATATCTATTGACTTCTATCAAAATTTAAAAAAATTCAAAAAGGCAAAATTTTGGTACAAAAACGTTCGAAGTTTGCACGTTTAGGAAAATAGTTAAAACCATGCCAGCGCACAGCCTACCGCCGACAAGAAGAATTGATAGCAGGCCAGTGGCGATGAGCGGTACGATGTCGATGGGCGCGTCGTCGCCGCCGGAAGGCGCCGAGGTCGGTTCCGTCTGGTGGATGCTGCGCTCCAAATTCGGATCTACGCTCTCCTCCGCCATGCAGAACCGCTGAAAACGGATCAAATAAAAAAACGAAAACCAATAGACGACGAATTAGTTGGTTGCTCGCGGGTCTTTAGTAGTTCCGGCTGAAACGTGTTTGTTTAGAAAAATGTCTGAAAGTCGAAATTTTGGTCATTTCGGAAGAGTTTGCAAGGGCACCATAATGTACTCTTGATCTATAGTGTAAGGTGAGTAGCAAACGTACGTCTGGGGCGCAAAAAATAGGGGAGCGTAAGCCTAAGCCTAGGCCTAAAACACGAACAACAACGCACTTTATAGCGTGGAAATCCGATAAAATCGCACCGCTTTGGCATCATCCGCGTTCTTGCACGCTTCCGCCTTGATGGAGAGCGCATCCCTCTGCTGCGGTGGCCCCCAGAGATAGAAGGGGTTCTTCTTGCAGTCGAGGAAGGTGTTGTTCTCGAACAGAGCCAGGTGCTGCGGCTGCAAAAGGAGGGACGATAACGTCCGAAAAAAAAGAAAGCAGAGTGGAAATCACGAGGCTGAACACGCTCGGGCTTACTGACCAGCAGCTTGTCCTTGTCGACGATCAGGCACTTTGGGTACCAGACCGTCCTCTCGTTGTTGCCGGTAGTAGTCGGTGCGCGCCATTTCAAGTTGAGCGTGTCTTCGTTGCTCAGCAGCTTGGCGTATGGCGGCGACTGAAATGAACGTTGTATGGAGGCTCGCTCACCGGACGAGGAATTGGTCTCGTTAAATGTTTTTTGCTATTCCCGAGCCTAGAAACTTTGAATTTTAATTTTAAGTCGAAAAATCGTTCTTTTTTCTCTCAAAAAACGTCGAAAATGTGGACTTGTCAATATTTCTCCGACTTTCTGAGAGTTTCTCTGCTTCCAATAGAGAACAGGCAAAGGACTGGACGTTAGGAAGGGGGAAACCAGGCCTTGACAACGGGCCCGGCCAAATCCCGAATTTCAGGCCCGGGCCGGAAGAGCGGCAAGCACGTAAGAAAACCGTGTAAAACGCCATCACAATGGCTTCTGTTTTGTTAAAAGGCCCGTACAGGATTACCGGAAAAGTAGCTTTCCTTTGCCCCGCTAAAATATCGAGACTCTAAAAAATGGAAAATCGCTGTTTGTTCGCCTTGCTAGATACATTTCCGCAAACGCTCTCGGCTCACCCTCAGACGGTATGCGGTGTAGAACTTGGGGGCGACGTAAATTTCGAGCGGCAAGCACGCATCGCGCCCATCAAAATCGTGGCTACGGTACTGGCAGCTGGGCAGGTAGATTGACGGCTCAGGGATCAAGTAGTTTTCCTCCTCGTGGACGTCGGGAGACAGGTAGTAGCTGAACAGGAGGAAACATGTGGTAAACGTTGAAAAAAGGCGTTCATACTTGGAGCCTGCAATGGGGCGCGGCGCGCAATTCGGCGGCATCGGTCCAGCCGTGGGGCACCACTGAAAATGATTTGCGGTGGAAAAAATATAAAAACCTACCAATATTTGCGGAGCTGAGGGTAAATTTTCTTAAGAATCAAACATTTTTCGATCCAGTGACTGAATGAGCAAATTTCCGGCTTTTGGCAACATTTTTCTAGCTTTTTTGAAAGTCTTGCTTTGAATATTGCTAAAAGATGCTAAAAACAATAGAAAAACGCTCTTATGAGCAAGTTGGTTCCAGTTCTTCACTAAAACACCAAAACTATAATTTGCGCTCAAACCTTGGTGGAGAAAAACAGGGGTTGGCCAAAAGCTTTTCAACTTCAAAAAATGCAGCTGAACCTCGTAGCTGTTCCACTGGCCGGCGGCGGTGAGCGACGCTGGATAGATGTCTTCCTTGACGAACATCTTGACATCGTCCTTGCCGAGCCCGGCGTACTGGTGGAGACTCGGGATGCACGGGATGTGGTCCTTTCTTCGGGCGGCAGCGCCCAAGAAACTGCAACCATCAGTAAAATAAAAATCCAAAAATCCATTTTGAAACTCTCTAGCATTCCGAACCTACGAAAAACATTCGAAAAATCGGCTGGTACTTATCAATGTGGGGGGAGGGCACTTTGGGTAACTATTGGCCGACACTTTTTTTTTATCGCTTTTCGAGTCTATCTGGGGTAGTTTTGTTACGCTGAGTGCGATTAGAGTCGCAACATCATGCCAAACCGTTGGGTTTATCCAGAAAAACACCGCAAAATTTATCCTACTATATATAAAAAAATAGTGTCTGTGTGTGTGTTGGCAAAAAGTCGAAGGTTTAGTCAAAAATGGCCATTTTTCGTCGAAAATCGATATTTTTGTATTTTTGACAAAATTTGTCAAGTTTTAAGTTTCGGAATAGCAAAAACCGTTTAAAAAGTTGGGCTATTTATATAAAAAATTGCTAAGAAAGAAATTCCCTCAATAACGCGAAAGAACCCAAAAATCAATTTTGATTGTAAAAAAAATTAGAACGGAAAAACTAACATTAGAACAAACAGAAAATGAGTGTCCCCCGCCTAATAAATTGCGATACACCTACTCGGGGATGGTGAAGCCAGCGTCGCATTGCACGGCGTATCCGGTGCCCAGCTTCCATGGGGCGAATGGGATGGCTGACGTCCTGAAGCCGAAGTCGTCTCCGCGGCAAAAGCTGCGAACCTACGTTTTTTTGTCAGCACATTGTCCGTTGGCCATCATGGCTCGGGTGCACAGGTTGTGCGGGAAGATCACCCAATTTTCTGTAAAGGGCAAAGGGTGAGGTGAAAAACCTTGTTTTTCGCCCTGGGATATTTTTATAATGCTATACCATCGGTTTGTGCTTGCTAAACAGATGCAGAAAAGATGTTGACTTTTAAAAACTTCGAAAATGTTGCCATATTTGGTCAATTTCCATGCATTTTTGAGTACAAAGCCCGAATGTCGAGCATTTTTATAATTTTTGATGCCTTTCAGATCTAAAAACTATGTAAAATGCTATAAAAATGCCGTCTCCGATTCTAAAGTTTCGAAAATTTACAAACACTTTGGCGGAAAGTGCTAATTTTTTAAAGTTTTTTGACCAAGGGTTGTTTACAAACGGTACAATTGAAGAATTTGGCACGCATTCCCTGGCAGCTCAACGACAGCTTTTTGAAGGTAAAAATCGGTTTAAGCTCCAACCAAACCGAGTTTTCGCAAACGAAGATTAAACAAAAGTAACTTTTCGATTTTTGACGACCCGCAACTCTTCAAAAAACTTTTAAACATTTTTGAAAACGTAGAAAACCTTCAGACGAAACAGTCTACCTCCGCCTTGGTTATATCGTTCGACCATAACGGCCTGGATGCAGTCGGGTTGATTTGCCTCTGTGCAGAACAGCGACCTCGGGTCGCAGTCGATCATCAGGCGTCCCGTGTCGTCGTCGAGGGTCAGGGCCGCACCCGGGGCGCACTTCGTGCAGGGCGGGCACTGAAACCAGGATTCATAAATAGGCCGCAGTAAATTGGACTACCTCGCCCAGGTTGTTGAGCTTCGTGAGGAGTGTAAAATGCAAGTCTCCAGCATGCTGTGCCGTGTAGCAGATGAATGGCACGCTGGCACACTGAAAACAAAGTTTTTGAGGCTGCCGTCAGCCGCGACAAACCGCTGGCAAATCGTCGGCACCCGGTTTGGCGGACGGTGCCCTGTAAAATCGCGGAATTAGGCCCGTAAGCATGAAAATATCCCAAAACAGGACCATACGCCCTATTAATACGTGGCGTATCTCAAAATATTAGCGCGAAACTTAACGAAATATTACGTGGAAAAACAAACAAAAGATCGTAAACATGTTTTTAGTTGAAATTTAATTAGAACCAGGGTTGAAAAGCCGCTTCGCGACTTTTCAACCCTGGCCCCGTCCGACCCCATTTTATCCTTCAGTTTGCATAATTGTCCTGCATTCAAACGACAAAAAATGAAAAACAACCTCTCCGATCCCGTTATATAGTCGAATCCCAACTTCCGGTCTATGTTAATTATACCTAACAAAGAAGTTTTCACAAAAACCTAAATTTAATGTCGAAAATAGGTGATTTTGTTGAATTTAAAAGGCGTGCAGTTATCTCCAGACCAATGCGCACCTAATGACGTATCATACGTCCTTTAAAATTCATCCCCTAGCGAGATATCCTCCGGACAGACAGACGGAAATGGATGCAAAGTGGCACACACAGACACACACACACACAAAGACACTATTTTTTTATATATAGTAGGATTTTTGTCGAAAAATGCCTATTTTAACCCCCGGGGAAGAATTCAAAAAGTGCTATCAAACTGGACCGTACTGGGAAACGGCAACCGCGGGTGCGATGAGCACGAGGGAGCCGATGAAGATGAGCATCAGGGGCATCGTGGTCGAACGCTGTGGCGAGCGCGGCTGGGCGATCATCAGAGTTTGTGGCCTTGATGAGACGAGATGGCCCCGCAACGTCTTTCCCGCATTTGAGACGGTGAACCCAATAAAATTCCGGTTCGTTTCCGGTCGCCAAGTTGTTTCTTCCAATTTTAGATGCTAATTTCGTTCGGTTAGAGTCTATAGCCCCCTCCGGCCAGCCCGCATTTGCCCCCAAGTCATCCCATTAATGCGCGAAGTATCTCAAAATGTTCCCCTCTTCAAACACTCCATTTCCGTATACTTTTTTTAACCAAAATAGACAAAGAAAAAGAAATCAAGCTTAAACAAAGATTGGTTTGTATTGGGGCGACAGCCATCCCTTTTCCCGTCGTAAGCGTCGAAAGGGGCGCCGTGTTGTCCTGTCCTCGCAACACTATAGTTGCGCTGCAACAATAAATTGCTTCTAAAATTATTATTTGTTACTTTTTTCTAAAAAAGGTATATGGAAATGGAGTATTCGACGAGGGGAACATTTTGAGATACTTCACGCACTAATTGGACCACTTGGGGGCGAATGCTGGCTGGGGGGAGCAAACTAGGCATTAGCCTTTCGTTCATACGCAAAGACAAAACGGACAAATGATCTTGCAAAGCCAAGCCAACTCTCACGCGGGGCAGGCTAGCAGAGATCCAGTTCAGGCATCCTTGTTCTTTGAATCTGTGATCAGGGCTAACTAGCAAAGACCATTTGAGACGCATTGGAAGTAGCATTATTATTATTATTCTACATTATTTGGCTATTTCTTGGAATTGTCAGCCATTGATGGCAAGCTAGCGGTGATCATTTTGGAACAGAATCCAGAAAAATGTGGAAGAATATAATTTTAAATGATGATTCTTGTTTCCTGCTGCCAGCTCTCTCTCCCTCTCTCTCCTCCTCTCTCTCTCTCTCTCTCTCTCTCTCTCTCTCTCTCTCGCCCTCTCCAAATATATTCTGCGGATTCACGTCTGGTTTGATCATTGTTTTATTTGCATAGAATCACACAAATTAACAACGGCCGAGATAGATGGGGGGAGAGAGTGATGAGATGGAAAGAACGAGCCCGCAACGCACCGGTAGAAGATCCAAGGAAGAGTGGCTTCTAAAATTGATTGAAATTGTTTCTCGCGTCGGCACACTCTCTCTCTCTCTCTCTATCTCGCTCGCTCACTCACCTCTAGGAAGCATCGCCGGCATCCCGAACGAGACTAGTTCTGCGGAGCTTTCCCAACTGGTTGACCACCAGCCGGCGAAGACGCTCCAGACATCTGAAAAATTGAGAATTATAAAGGTCAAAAATTTTCGAGATTATGAGAGACAACGCTGCTTTGAGACATGAACACTTACCGGTGCACTACCCGGGGCCATTGGTTGTGCGATGGCTGCGGCGGCGGGCCCGTTGGCGCTGGGCGCGGACGCGGGGGCCGCGGGCGCGCCCGCCGCCCCCGAGGCGCCAATCTGCATCGAGGGCGGGAGTTTGGGCCGCTCTTCCAAATACTTGTACTCCAGTTTCATTTCCCGGGGCACCTGGAAAGATGAGGTTTTATCGATTGTAGGCTTAGGCTTAGCTTAGGCTTAGCTTAGGCTTAGCTTAGACTTAGCTTAGGCTTCGCTTAGGTTTGGCTTAGGCTTAGCTTAGGCTTAGCTTAAGCTTGGCTTAGGCTTAGCTTAGGGTTCGCTTAGGCTTAGCTTAGGCTTAGCTTAGGCTTAGCTTAGACTTAGCTTAGGCGTAGTTTAGGCTTAGTTTAGACTTAGCTTAGGCTTAGCTTAGGCTTAGGCTTAATCAAATACGCTACCTTCCGCCACTGGATCGGGTCGAACACCATATAGCTGCCGTTCTCATATGTTTGCGTCTGCTCCTTGATCTGTCCATACTGTGACCGTGTCAACCAGATGCACTCTTGCTTGTGAAATCGCCAGTCGCGCGTGTATCTGTAAAAGGGCGGGGATTAAGGGGTCACTGGGCTTGGAATAGCCCGAATATTCTGTAATCTATTTTTTGAAAGGATGAGAAAAATCTTGGAATCACGAAAAATCATTAATGACTTGTTTAGCCCTTGCATATTTTTCACAGCGTAGCTCGGTGAGAAACACTGCCTAAAAAATCTTTTTTCTCTCTCTCTCTCTCTCTCTCTCTCTCTCTCTCCCGCTCACTCTCTCTCTCTCTCTCAGAATTAAAAAGTCAGTTAGATAGTTTTCTCAGTCTCGCCCGCTACGCTACGCTCCAAATGGCGTACTTAGGCGACAGGGACCAAGGTGTACCTGGCAACTCAATCTCAACCCCAAAAAATTCAACATTGCGATTCTATTTTTGTTGTTTTTTTGAAAGCCATTCGACGGAGCATCAAAAAAACATACGGAAAGGTTTCATTTCCGCTAAAAATACTAGAAAAGAAGAAAATTAGTCAAAAACAAAAAATAACATACAAAAATAGGGTTGAAAAGCTAGTTTTTGACGCTCGCATATTTTGTTGGTATTTTATTATCTATTTTTTTTGCAATTTTAGGGCCGGGGTTGATGACTGGGACCTAGGGCTACTGATGTCTGCCTCAAAAATTTTTTTGGGGCCTAGAAACTTGTCCGTAGGCCTTAAAAATTTCTTGAACTCCTTGAAAACCTCGGAAACTCAGGGCTAAAAAACGCCCAAAAACATCCATAAAAGGCTTACAATTCGGCGGCGGCGGCGACCTGGTACACCTCGCCGGGGCAGTTGTAGAACAGGAAGAAGAGGACGTCCTCGCCGAGTTTGTGCAGCCGGATGTTGGGCAACTTGTCGCGTATCGTGGCGTTGGTGAGGTACTCAACGGGGACACGAGCATCCATATCCTGTGGCCGACATGGGTAATCCGCCCAAGGGCCGCCGAATGTTGTGTAGAGGAGTCGGCTGGAAATGGGGTTTTTTTGGGTTTTTGGTTTTTTTTTATTTTCGGAGAGGGGAGCGGGTCGATTTTTTTCGATCAAGCACAGGAATACTGACGAAATCGATGTCTTTTTTGATAATTTTTAGTATATTTTAACTGCATAAAATGAAAAAATATCTAGTAAACCTGGAAAAAAAACGAAAAAAACGCCTAAAAATCCAATTGGAAAATGGTCTTTTTGCGTCCAAAAACTTCTGACCTTCCCATGGGCCCTTCCCATCAAATTTTCCAGATTTTCACTAACTTGGATCCCAACGAAAAAAATAATAATTAGAACTGCCGGTAATCCTCGCCCGCCTCCCCTCTCCCCCGATAATGCACAAGCGCCGAGATGGCGAGCGAGAGAGAGAGGGGGAGAAAGAACGCGGGCGGGTTAGAGAACCAAAGAGAGAGACAGAGAGAAACAGAAAGACAGAGAAACAGAGAGAGAGAAACAGAGAGAGAGAAAGAGTGAGAGAGAGAGGGAGTGAGAGAGACAAAGAAAGCAAAGAGAGAGAGAGAGAGAGAGAGAGAGAGAGAGAGAGAGAGTGAGAGACCGGAAGAGAGGGAGCGAGAAAGAGAGAAGGGGAGCAAGCCAAAGACTTACTCAGAGTTGCTGCTGATATTCAACCCGAGTCCGGTGAGATCGTAGCCGATGGCCATAGAGAGTAGATGTTGCTGCTCGGTGGCCATCCTCCAATACGTCACAAAACCGGCCATACCAAACTGGTCGTTCAGCATCCCCGGCGGAATATTCGTCACCTCGCCTGGAAATCCAGGAATTTTGGTTTCGAGATGACTTCAGGTTTATTTTTAAGGCTACAAAAATGAAACAAAAACTCAGGTATCGGTTCTGTCATTAAGCTTTTTAGTATAGTTGGCCCGGAATTGGTGGTGACCATCGATTGACTGGCGCGCCAGGAAGGGGCCGCCCAAAATATGCGGGTAGACGGAGAATTAATTGAGAAAATAGCGACCGGGCAGGCTGGCAGATATTATTTATGGAATTTTCTCGATGTTACATTCAAATATATAGACATTTTGTTCACGTTAGAGCGCTAAAAATTCGCAGGGGCGGGCTAGCAAAGGTCACTTGCGGAAATCCAAGTTTTGCTTGACAGGATTGGGCCAGCTAGCAGAGATTTTGCAAGAATTCGCAATGTAACAAAAACCGTGGGAGAATTTGAGGTTTGCGAAGCTGAGGAGAGTGGCAAACTAGCAGTGATTTTTGCGGAATTTCCATGATTTTGTGGCCGACTAAGAGGAAACTAGCAGGGATTCTTGCGGAAGTGGAATTATGCGGAATTTAAGGATTAGCAAACTGGCAGAGTTTTCTTGGGGAATCATAAAACTAGGAGATGGGCGCCCGGGCAAGCTCGCAGACCCATTTGAGAAATTTTAGCATGTCCAAAGTCTAAAAACCACTAGGCAAACTAGCAGGAATTCTTTGTGGAATTCACTGTATCAAAAACACGATAAGAAAGACCAGGGCAAACTAGCAGAGGTTCTTGGCAAAATTCAAAAAACAGCTCGTAGGCATTTTGAAAAACTGATGCTGATCAAAGGGCCGAAAAAAGCCTGGGGCCAGCTAGCAGAGACCCTTGCGGAATCCGAGCTAAAAATAAGCGTCAGAGATCGAGGGCAAGGGCAAGCTAGCAGAGACCATTGAGGAAGCCTGGAAGCTAGCAGAAGTCTCTCAATCCAGTAACTTTTTCAGGACCTTTAAAAGTAGAGGGCAAGCTGGCATAAATGGTCAGGCTCACTTAAAAAACTGGGCAGGCTAGCAGAGAACTTTGAGGAACCGAAAAACCAACCGTCAGGGCGGGTGATGATGCCCGTCCGACTGGCCTCTTCGGGCGTCAACTCGGCAAATCGCTGCTCCGCCCGCCCTTCCGTTGGCCCCACAGCTTCCGACGTTGCCGACTGCAAAAATTTCAAATTACTTGGTTGAAGACACTAAAAGCATTATATGTCCCAATAAAAAAGGTCACGCTGGCATTTTGCTATTTCAAATCCGACCGACTTGAAATTTTGCACAGAGGTGCGGAAGGGAATTTAAAATGTTCACAGAAACTTTCAGCCCGATCCGTACAGTAGTTTTCGAGTTATAGCAAAAACACTGTTTTTCCCACACTTTCGCTTCATTTTTTCGGCTATATTTTTGGACTTTGCATCAATTAACATCAATTTCCGGCTCTCAATCCCTTATTCTTCTTAACATTGGCGTCGTTAGCCCTTGTCAAAAAATACTTAAATAGCCTATTTTCGACCCGAATTTTGCGAAATAAAAAAATTCCTAGGATAAAAAAGGGTCGGCGCTTCATTTTCTCCATACATTCCAGGGCTCAATTCGGGCGGAATCCAGGTTAAAAACGTAACATAAAGTTTATTTTTGCTATAACTCGAAAACTACTGTACGGATCGGGCTGAAAGTTTCTGTGAACATTTTGAATTCCCTTCCGCACCTCTGTGCAAAATTTCAAGTCGATCGGATTTGAAATAGCAAAATGCCAGCGTGACCCTTTTTATTGGGACACCCTGTATTTATAGATTATAGCATTGTATAATTAGATTCAGTGTCTCGGCTAAAAACGAGCTTTTCTGGTTCTTTGGCATTCGCGGGGGTGGGGAAGACAGCTTTTTCTTAAGTTCTAATTTTTAAATATGGGTCGAGAAAGTGTTTCAAACTTTTTTACTATTTTAAAAGGCAAAAACTTCGAATTTTCATTCAAAATATGAAAAAAATGGATTTTTCGATAAAAACGCGGATTTTTTTGACGAAAATTGAACTGCAATTTTTTATTTGTAATTTATTTGATAATTTTTGCGCTTAAAATATCGCTAACTCTTGCTAAAAATATTAAAATACTAACTATGACATCGGCGTTTCTGGTCTGATAGTAAAAATTCACCCCACCCCCCCCCCGATAACGCGAAAGCGCACAACAACCAAAAAATGGCGAAATCGGCAAATTACCGTACTATTAATCAGACATGGGAATTTCGGTCGGCCGGCCGCGGCCGACCGGCCGACGGCCTCATTAGCATAAAAAATCGGCCGTTTCCGGGCCGCCGACTCTATGCAAATGACTTCCAGTCGGCCGATCGGCCGGCCGACTTTTTTGGTCGGCTCGGCCGCGGCCGCGTCGGCCGGCCGACAAGTCACACTTGAGAAAAAGTTTCACAGAAACGTGTCGCTGGCGCCTCTAGATTTTGAATAAATAAGGAATGGGTTTGGGCATTGGATTTCACTATTCCCTAGGATGCCTGCCTACCAAATTTTATTTAAAAATCTTTATTTTATGTGGGGAAAGCGTGCTTTTTATGTCAACCCTGAATTTTTTTGGAAGGTTGCCAGCTTCAAATATAGTTCAATTTTGTAGTTTCAAGTAACACACAAATTTAGTCAGGATGTTGCTATGACGAGTGGGCCTTTAGTCTTTTTTTAATTGAATCGTTTTGCGGCGATGAAGCAATTAATGATGATAAAGTAGAGCAACAGCCACGTCAAATCCGTTGTAATCACGTCTAACCCTAGACCGTTGCAACCCCATTATTTAACTAGTTTCCTCAGTCTAAACATTTTTGGCCAAGTAAATCCCTACATTAGCATCCAAAAATCTAATTTGGTTGCGGTTTTGGGCCGTTTCCGGGCCGCGCGGCCGGCCGACATTTCGGCCGGCCGATTTGGCCGCGGCCGCGGCCGACCGGAAATGGCGGCCGACCGATTTCGGCCGGCCGCATTCTAATTTTTTCGGCCGAAAAAGCCGATCGGCCGGCCGATTTGCCATGTCTGCTGATAATGGTGTCACCATAAAATTAGTAAGGTCAAACATCCTGTAAAAACCAACCAGATTGCTGGGCATTCCGTCGGCCGGGATGGCCCCTTCTCGCGCTTGCGCGTAAGGCTGAAATGTAAAATTTGGAAAAATAAAGTACTAGGTTTTAAAATCAAAGAAAAGATCTAAAAATTGTCTATTCGGGAGCGCTATTAATATCAAATAATATCATTAAAAAAACCCGGGACCATAGACACCACGCCCATCGCTTCCCCCAGTGATGACAAATACGCTTTTTACGCCTTTTTCTTGCAAAAGCATTGAAGCGGAGGGGAAGTATGTCTGGACGAACAATGATGAAAGCCGTTTCTGCCCCTAAATAATCTCCGCTAGCCTGCCCCTCCATCCCCTCCAATTCCTCAAAGAATCTCTGCTAGCCTGCCCCCTCCATCCCCTCCAATTCCTCAAAGAATCTCTGCTAGCCTGCCCTCCATCCCCTCCAATTCCTCAAAGAATCTCTGCTAGCCTGCCCCCTAAATGAACTGCTTGAAAACGTACCTGGGGTGGCTGTTGTGCCTTGTTGGCTTGTGCCCCGGGCAGGGCGGGGAAATCCTCGGATTGGATGTGGAACTCGTTGTTCCCGAAACCCTCGCCGCCGCCGCTACGCATCAAATTCGCTGGAAAGAACGTGCCATTATTAGTCGGGGCCATTTAGCGGGAAAAGGCCGGGGGAAAAGGGCAATATTTTCAGACGAAAAGACCAAATTCCTAGTCTTGTCGATATTTTCCAGCTTTTTAATCGTTTTAAAAGGACAAGAAAGGCGCAAATCGACCCCTCTGTCCGGGTCGGTCTCGACAGCTACACCACAGTCCAAATGACACCTAACATTCGTCATTGTGGCTCCCATACGGAAATCAGCGTTTTTGAAAAACACTATTTCGCTTGAAAGTGTCATTTGGAGTCACGCGTAGCCGTCGAGACCTAGTCGAAAAAATCTAGTCCTTTTTCCCGTTATTTTTTAGTTATTCCGGTTTTTAAAGGAGCGTAGAAGCAAGAATCTACCCCATTCTAATCGCTAGATCTCGGCAACTACGCGACCTTCCTATTAACATCTATCAACCAAGTTTCTGAACGATGGGATCCGAAATTGTACAAAAAAACTTTTATTTTTATTTTTATGAGGGTAATTTGTAGTGTAGCGTAACTGTCGAGACGCAGTACCCCGAGGGGTAGATTTTTTGATGTAAAAAAGCCATTCAACGCTCAAAAACCTTTCAAAACGTATTACATTAAATTCAAAAATTTAATTAATTTAATTTAAGACCAGGGTTGAAAACCCGCTTCGCGACTTTTCAACCCTGGCCCCCGTCTAGCCCCGTGAGGGTTCTCAATTTGCATAAATTTCGCAGATTCCGGTGGCAAAAAAAATGAAAAACGCGGCTTCGTTCGATTATATAGGATAAGGCCATTTCCGGTGTATGCTAATAGATTCCTAACAAAGAGGTCGAGCGAGATTTTAACAAAAACCTAATTTTAATATCGAAAACAGCTGATTTTCCAAAATCTGATAGGTGTGCAGTCGTGTCATGACTATTACGCACCTAATGACGTATCATACATACCCTTAACTTCCTTCCTTATTGAGATACGACTGGAACATACGGACGGAAGTTACATGCAAATGCACACACACACACACACACACAAACACTATTTTTTTATATATAGTAGGATCTGATCAAACAATAAATTTACTCTATCCCGGTACCGTACCATAATTCGGCCGATTATTCGCACCATAACCGGAGGGGATTGGCGACTGGTTGGCCGAGTAGCCGCTGGTCGTCGGCAGAAGCGAGAACGAGCCGGGGGTCCCTGCAAAAATTATTATGATTTTTTAGCGCCGTAATTCCAATTTTACGCGGCTCTACCGTACCTCGGCCGCCGAGGGACGGGAATTCGCTGTCGTTGTTGATAATTGTAGTCGACACGGTGAGTAGGCCGGCACTCATGCACCGCGCCTAGCACCGCACTAAATGAATCGTTGAATTGGTGCCAAGGAGGGCGAGAGAGAGAGAGAGAGAGAGTGAAGGAGAGAGAGAGCGATAGAAAACGAAATCGTGCAATTGACGTAAGTATCAAAAAATTACAGATTTGAACACAACCAGTCAATTTTTAACCGGAGCAAGACGGGGAGCTAGGAGAGAGAGGGAGAGAATGAGAGCGTGAGTGAGAGCGAGAGGGGCAGCCAGAATGAGAAGGATATGGAGCGTGAGCGAGGGCGAGCCAGTGAGAGACACTGGGACAGAGATAGAGAGTGAGAGAGAGAGCGACATTTTTTTACTCGTTCGAACAAGACTGGGAGCAATATACAAAAACGCCATCTCAGACTGGCAGGCACTTTCCGGAGCACCGAGTAGTTGAGCTGATAACGGATCTGGGGGTGTTCACCCGGCTCTACCTGGCAACAAAATGAGCCCAGCTGGAAAATTCCGGTCCAAGCTGGCTGCTGAATGCGTCAATCCTGTTTTTTATCAAATTGTTGCCTTGCGATTCCCTTTAAAATTGAAAAAAGCATGATTTTAGCGGCAAACACGGAAAATCGACCCCTACCATTGACTGGGTCTCGACAGCTACGCGAGACTCCAAAAAGCTAGCAACGGCATCTAATTTTTTGTCCAAATGGCTATGAAAATGTCCAATTCGAGCACATGCAAATGGAGATTTAGGGGCGTAATTTGGCCTATCTCGGAGCTGTCGAGACCCAGTTGGCAAGGAATCGATTTTCGCGAATATTAGACGGTTAAAAATATCGATAGATCGGTATAAATTGGTTAAAAAATAAGCATCTCTAACTATACGATAAAAATGCTATAAAAATTAAGCCATAAAAGAGTAAAAAAATATAATAGACCGCGTATTTTGGAGTGCCGCGTAGCTTTCGAGACCTAGCGGACGAAAGGGGGTAGATTCTGGGATTTAGAGAGCTTTAAAATTTGGAATTTAAGGGAAATAAACTATACAAAATAGACTAACACTACACAAACATTTTTGCAAATCGGATTTAGAAAAAAGTGTCACCAAAATTGGGCGGGAAAAATTTTTGGATACTTTTCGCTCGTTTCCAAAAAAACAGGAGCTACTGTAATTTAGGTGGTTTAAACGACGCTGTGCTGTATGTAAAAGTATAAATTTTATTCTTGATATAGAAAGTGATGATGCCCCGTTAATCCCCCCTAGAGTAGAGGTCAACAATGACAAGGAGCGAAAAGGCGCGCGCAGCCCCCCGGGCGGGTTGACGGAGGCTGACTGACTGACTGACTGTGACCCCTTCTCTTTATGTCAGAAAGAACCAAACAACACACAGACAGACAGACATAGAGATCGACAGACAGACAGACAGACAGACAGACCGACACCCCCTCATCAATAGCCCCCTCGCAAAGACACACACAAAAAACGAGGGCACCATTATCGATCATAACCTTTGCAAAGGCACCCACGGGACCAGAAGAAGAATATTCCCGCAATTTCCTGATAGACCCTGGGGGTAAAGAAGGAAATTAAAGGTGTTGAAAAGGTTAAATGACCCCTTCCGATCGACTAGGGCTTCAAAAGATACGCGAAGCTCCGAATGACAGGTAAAATTTGGTTTTTATAACCTCGTGAAACTACGAACCCACGAAATGAACTTGTAAGCGCCAGATTCGACCCTCACGATAGCCTAGGTCTAGACAGCCACGCGATGCCCAAATCAAAACCTGAATAGCCGTTTTATAATCTCCGGAAAAAGGGCGACTACAAGACACGCCAAATGACGGAGGTCAAACCGTTGTCATAGGCCGCAGAACGTGGATTAAAAATTCCTTAAAACAACCTGAAAAGCACGAGGATCGACCCTTACCATAGACTAGGGGCCTCGATGGCTACACGACGTGCCAAATCACGGGTTAAATCTGGTTGATGGGGTCGCAAATCTATAAAACCCTGGAAAATAACCTGGAAGCGCGTCATTCGACCCTGGCGATAACCTAGGTCTAGACAGCCATGCGACGCTCCAAATCAAAACCTGAATAGCCGTGAATCTACGCGGTACACGAAATGACGAGTGTCAATCTCACCTTGTGACGGTAAATCCAAGATAAATCATATCCTGGAAGCACTAAAATCGACCTTCCCTAGACCAGGTCCAGACACCTACACTATATTCCAAATGACAAGTTGACTAAACAAGTTCTTTTTAATTTACTAACAATTTCGAAATTTTTTTAGCGTATTTTTTCCTTGGCTGCTAGCTGGTAGCGAAAGAACAAAAAAAATGGCCTCAAATCGTAAGCGGACCCTCACGGGCAGTACCCATGAGAGCGAGCAGAGCGGTCCGCACCGGCTTGAAAAGCTACACACGACAACGGTGACGGACGAACGAGTTGGGTTTGTTTCTAAACGTTGGATTAACGATAACTGACTTACTGACACGATCAAGCTATAAAAATTAATCCAAGTCGCATGCCTGACTTACTAATAAGACGCTAAAATCGCATACGACGTGAAGGAGCTAGAAAGAGGTTTTGAGCGGGCTCTAGACACCGTTTAAAAGTTAGTAAGACAGTAGAAACCCCCATAACTTTAAGATAGCCGCAAGTTTCAGCAAATACAAAAGAAGCATCCACGAACGCCATTCTGAGAACAAAATCCCAGTCGCAATCAGGGATTTAGCCTAAAAATGTTTGCTCCCGCCTTCCGCTAAAATGATTAAGTTTTATTAGGTAAAAACACTATACAGATGGGATACCAAGCGGAAATCCATTATCTAGAAGCTTCACAAACTTGGAAACCGCGCGGAAACAAGCGGAAGTTTGCCGCGTTTTAGGACTTTTAGGGTATCCGGTTTTGAAAAACGAAATTTGAAAGCGTAGGAAGTTTTTAGAGGTGCTAAACGAGTTCTACAACCTAAAAACACGAAGAAAACAAGCAAAAACGATCTAAAAACATCCAAAAATTACAATCCAGTCGTGAAAACATTCAAATTCTATCCCAAAAGCTTGGCTAAACGCTTCCGCTCTAAAAATTACGTCTAAAAACAGTTTCCCGGTGCCAAAAATCTAATAAAAAAATTGGGCGCGCAGCTAGTCTAGACTGCGAGCCAGTCTCTCTGTGTGTCTGTGTGTGCGCACCGGGGGTGACGCGTCGCGGCGCGCGCTGGCTAGACAGGCCCGAGGTAGGCGGCTACAGGCTACAAATGTCGAAAAACCATAGCAAAGGGTGGAAGGTACTTTAAAGCGTTATAACCTAAAAACACCGATTTCTTCTAAGATTCTGGGCACCATTTTGGCACCCCTGGCCGGCGGCGGCCCCGTGTGAGGCCACATGACGGCTTCGGCGCGCGCCCCCCACCGCCTCTGCGTGTCTGCGCCCTCCCCCCTCCTCGGCATCCCTCGCCTCTCGCCTCAGCACCCCCTGCTGGGCCAGGGGGCCGCGACGCGTGCACGCGACGCGCCGACACGCCTGCGCATCAACGCGCCCTCTCTCTTGCTAGCCGGGCGAGTGACAGCACTTTGGGCTACAAACTACATCGAGGCTGGGCACAGGACCACCCGGCTGCCTGACTGCCTGCCTGCTCGGGGGATTCGATTACACCCTGTAATTTGGCGCCTACAGTTGGCCGGTTTTTATGTTAATTTTACAAATTTTTGGCTAGAACCGATGCCGATTTTTGAGGAGTTAGATGATGAAGTTGATTAGCTAAAATTTTGAGACTTTTTGGTGTTCATAGCACTTTAAGCCTCCTGGAAATGTAAAAATTTTTCCGATCGGAGTTGTGGAATATTGTATACTTTAGATTTTGTTTAATTCTGTCTTGATTTTCCGATAGAATCCTACTATATATAAAAAAATAGTGTTTGTGTGTTTGTGTGTGGACACTTTGCATAAACGGCTCGAAAAAACCGGGTTACCAAGATATCGGGAAGGGGGAAGAATTTTAGGACCGGGTCGAAAAGTATTTAGTGGTAGTCGAGGGCGTAGATTACTGCAAGCTTATCAGATTTTTAATAAAATGACGATTTATACCTTATTTTAGCGATTTAAAAACATATGGAAATAACCTCATTTGCATAAGAGGCGTTAGGAAGCTCATTTCGGATTTTGTCACGCTCTCAGTCGGTCGCTTTTGCGATTATTAGGGTTGAGAGGTTGGCGTTAATTCGCTAGAATTATGCAAATGCCCAGCTTCGAGGGATCTCCGCGCAAAGGCCAGGGGGTGAAAAGCCGCGTCGCGGGTTTTCAACCCTGGTCGATATTAAATTTTCTAACTCTTAGTTTACATTTAAAATTAAAATAACACCTCATGTAAAAACCAATAAGATTGCCAATTTCTGAATTTTCAGAAAATTTTTGGGGGATATCTTTTCTATTTTAGAACTTTTCTATTTCTATGATATTTTTTTCGTTTTTTAAATCAATAATGTCGCCAATTTCTTTGGCTTCCTAATTTTAAGGTAGATTTTTTTCGGATTAATAAGCTATATGATGTTATTATTATATTTGACTCGAAAAAAGCTTATAAAACAGGAAATATGTTAGAAATGCGAATAAAAGCGTAATAAAACGTTGTGAGCTTCACGGGTGCCCTGGCAGCGTAAATTAGCTTCGTCATCGGTCGGGTAGTTAGATAAAATTAGGCAAAAGAGCATAAGATATTTTAATGTTTCGCGTTCTCTCTCCCTCTCGCTCTCTCTCCCTCTCGCTCTCTCTCTCTCTCGCTCACTCTCTCTCTCTGGCTCTCTCGCTTTTTCGCACGCTCCCTTTCTCAAGCTCTCTCGCGCTCTCTCTCTCTCTCTCTCTCTCTCTCTCTCTCTCTCTTCCCATGCCCTCATCACGCAAATTCTAATCCAGATGAGTGAATGCCCTCCTTCCCTCCTGAGGACACGCAAGGGGGAGTCCATCCTCCCCGGCTGCGAGGCCCTTATAGTCAGCCCAGGGGCATGGGAGCCGAAAAATTGAATTTCCCCCCTCGTTTCTCACCGACCCATCCTGCCCCCTCCAGTCGATGCGCCAAATATGGCTGCGTTCCGTTTTTGCGGTTACGAAATCTGATCAGATTTTGGTTCTCATCACCGGCAATTTTTCGGGATTGGAGCTATCATCGTTTTAAAGGACCGTACAAGATTTGGCTATGGATTTTGGCGCTTATGAGAGTCAATTAGGTCATTTCCTGGCCGAAATATCTCGAAACATCGGGTTAGAAAGTATTTATTAATAAGAGTTTTAGGCTTCTAGGCATCTTTAAAATCGGCTACTACGCATTGTTATGGCTTTCTCAACATTGTAAAAGTAAAATCCTGTTTTAATGGCGTTTTTTGATGCTTAGTTAGCGTTTAAAAATACCTAAATATTTTTATGCATTTTCAAATAATGGTCGTTTTCGAATAATAGTAATAATAATAGTAAGTCGTGTTTAATGCATTTTTTTCAGATGTTCCCCGGGTAATGGTGCTATCGGGAAGCCAGGGCCGACTGGTTGTTGCGGTGGCTGGCTGTCTGGGGCTCCTCCTATATCATCTCCATGTCCAAGACCTGGATCAGGCGGCTAAGGAGTACGTTGGAAGGTTCTAAGGGGACCTGAAAGGAAATCGATCCTTCCAGCTAATAGGTCTCACCAGCTACGCGACGCTCCAAATGACACTTCTCGAGCTTGACTTTACTATCCAATCTAAACGTGAAATCAACATTTTAACGCGAAAAATAATTTATTTGACGCGTGATTTGGAGTGTAACGTAGCTGTCAGGACCCAGTCGATGGAAAGGGTCGATTTTCGAGTTTTCTGGTCCCTTTAAAGGGATAGAAATACAATAGCTCTACAATAGCTGGTAATCCTTTATTTCATTGTTTAATCTATTCCTTTAAAAAAGCTAAACAAGCGGCATTATCAACCCCTTCCGCTGGCTAGGTCTAGACAGCTACGCGACACTCCGAATTACACGTGTGAGGCGCGATCTTCAAATCTCTTTGAATCTTGACGTTTTTCACAAAAATCACTGCAGCCACGAGCGTCATTTGCAGCGTCGTAGCTGTCGGGACCTAGGAGATGGCAGGGGTTGAGTTTGGGTTGTTTTTGGCCCCTTTAATTTCCCGGAATTTTTTTCAGACTCTCCGCCCACCTCCTCTCATGCCAGGAGCAGACGGAGAGCATCGTGGCACGGCTGCAAGGTTCGTAAAAGTCATGTATTTGTTACCACCGAACCGATCCAATTTTGCCCAAATAAAACTTTTAATTTCGATTTCTAGAAGCAAAAAAAGGCCGTAGATGGTGGGATTCGAACCCAAGCCTTTTTGAGCGACATAAAATAAGTATAACAATTTTTAGTAATGTTCGAGCATCGTCAACTGGCCTCCGAGTTGCTTGGAAGGGAGAGGAGAGGCATCGAGACTGAGCGCCAGGCATTTGAGACTCGCGTAAAGAGGTGTGAGCTGGAATCGGCGAGGATAAAGGTACGGTATCTCTCTCCCTGTCTCTCGCTTTCTCTCTCTCACCCGCTCTCGATCTCTGTCTGTCTCGCACTCTGCCCCTCTCTCGCTTTCTCTCACTCTCTCTCTCTCCCCCATTCTCTCTCTCCCTCTCTCTCTCTCTCTCTCTCTCTCTCTCTCTCTCTCGCTCTCCTTATCCCCTGATTTCAGAATGATCTCAACAATTGCCAAGCCGACCCTGCCGCTTTCAACAGTCCACCTACCGTACCCCCGCCCCAGAATCTGACCGAGGCCTTATTATTACGAGAAAAAGGTACTGTAGCCACTACCGTATCCGTATTTTGATACTTTTTCAGAAATCCTGCAACTTAAGGAGAACCTCGAGCAGTTGCAGGTTGGTGAAAGAGCGAGAGGGAGAGAGAGAGAGAGAGGGAGAGAGAGAACAAGTTATCGTAATTTTCCAGCATGTCCTCGAGCAACGAGCCCAAGAAATTGATAAATTACACCAAGAAGCGCAAGAAGTACAGGTTCGTATTTTTGGCGATTTTTAATTTTTGAAGAGGATATGGAAAATTCAAAATTTCGGCATATTTTCAATAGCGCCTTCGACGGGAATTTCACTTTATGCCGTTTCCAATTTTAAATTTTTAGAAAAACGCCGAAGAATGCCAGAACAAGCTGTCACTCCAGGCTGCTGTAGGTTTTCTAAACCTGAAACGTTTTTAATTTAATTAATTTATAAAAAGTCTTCTAAAATCACATCAATTAAAAAGAAAATTAAAACTACCATTTATTCGGCACAAATCGAAAATAGGAAAATCGAAAAAATCGGCCACAAGACTAGCGGGGCAAAAACGGGGGAATGTGCGAGTATAAGTTGGCAAGTTATAAATATTGGAAAAACTGAATTTAAAATCAAAAGGCACATTTATTTCACACAAAAAGCAATTTTTTGATAAGGCCCAATAATTTTGAGACAATAAAAAATATAAGCGCAAAAACCAGCTAAAGTTCATTTTTTTACTAATTTCGAAAGTTGCAATTTTAAGACGAATTTCGATAATTTAGCACGTTTTAAATCCTTAAATTATGGCATCGACACGGCCTCAGCAAAAAAGCGTTTAAAAATAGCGAATATTTATAAAAATTGACTTCTAATGCTCGGGGTGCTCGGGCAGATCGGCCGCCTGTTGGCTCGTCCCCTCGCCCAGGCTACCGTAACCCGGGAAATCGGCGTGGGGATCCTGGGGGTGCAGTTGTTGGCTGTGCTGGGCTAGGGCCTAAAAAGCTCTTTCAAAAGATTTTCTCACAAAATACAAATAGTTACTTTAGTCAAAGAACCCCTGCAAGCCTGCCTTCATCGACAAAACCCCGGCTAGCTTACTTTCCTCAAAGTATCCCTGGTAGCTTGCCTTGATTGAATGACCAGAACTTCCTCCCAAAATAGCTACTAGATGTTGTTCTCTAAGAATCTCTGCTAGCCTGCCATGCCAAGGGAATCCCTGCTAAATGACCCTTTTTTAAGGAATCTCTGCTGGTTTGCCTCCTCAAAAACCGCCACCAGCCGTTGTTTCTTAAAGAATCTCTGCTAGCTGGCTTCCTCGAATGTTCATAGCTCCTTCAGAATCTCTGCTAATCTGCCTTGCTCAAAAAATCTTTGCTAGCGTGCCCATCTTAAAATCGATCTGCAAACTCCCGCTAAATTCCTGATTTCCCAAAGATCTCTGCTAGCTTGCCTCTCTTAAATACTGCCCCCCACGCTAGCCACAAGTTTGCCGAATTCCCAAATAGTCCCTGCTAGCTTGCCTGCGAGTAATCGTAAGTAGATTGCCACATCTCTAGTCCAGTGCTTCCCTGGATCGAGCCCGCCAGGTTATGGAAGGCCCCGGCGGCAAACAGTTCACCTCCATGATCTGGAATTTGGAGATTTTGCTCTCTCTCTCTCTCTCTCTCTCTCTCTCTCTCTCTCTCTATCTCGCTCTCTCTCTACTAAACACTGTATTTCCGTTTGTATTTATGTATGTATGTCTGTCTCTCTAAAGCCCTCCATGTCTCTCTCACGCTCCTCGCTGTCTCTCTCAATCTCTCTCTCACTCTCGGTCTCTCTCTCTCTCTCTATCTCACTCTCACTCTCACTCTCTCTCGCTCTCTCTCTATCCGTCTTTCTCACCTTGCATAAATCCGGCCATCGTAAGCTGAGCTGGATAAAGCGCAGCGGCTTCTTCCTAAAAAATCTGTATTTTTAGGAATATTTTTTCTTACCGTAGCCCCGGTCGTGGCTGTAAAATCCTTATGCTCTCCATCAGCCTGCTGGGCCTGGGCATTCATGTACGGTAGATAATTCTGGGCGATGGTCGAGGAGGGGACCATCGAGGGGAAATTCTAAAAGCAAAGGGCTACCCAGTTGCCTTCCCTGCTCCTTTAAAGGGATTAGAAAGTGCCAGAATCGACTCGTTCCATCCACTAGGTCTCGACAGCTACGCGATACTCCAAAAAGGGCCATAGTTATTGAATCTTTTGAATTAACTTAACTTTTGAGTGGGTATGAAATGACAATTGAGAATTGTCATTTGGAGCGTATTGCTGTCAAGACCTAGTCGAAACAAGGGGTAAGTTTTGCAGTTCCTAGTATCTTGAAAACTGCGTAAAAATGCACAGTTCTAAAGGAACTGTGAACGTCGAAATCCAGTTTTCTGACTAGCAGTTTCACACCTTAAAGGCCTAGGAATCGCCAGAATTGACCCTAGTCATTCACTAGGCCTAGACAACTACGCGGCGCTCCAAATGACACCTGCAAGCTCGTTTTCCTGGCCTTACAACGTGGCTTTGTAACAAAACACGAGACATCTAGGTCGTTATTGGCAACCGCGAATTAGTGCTTATCGTAGTTGTTTAGGCCTAGTGGGTGTAAGCGTCGATTTTTGCGCTTCTCATCCCCTTTAACCCACATGCATGCCGGACTGCAGCAGCTGCGCGTAGATGGGGTTGTAGATGAAATTCTGGGGCGTCGGGAACATGGTGGTGGCCGGGCGGCGGACCCGCCTGGAAATTTGCGTAGGGCCTTAAAACTCATTTTTCTGAATGTTTTTCTGAAAGGGGTAACTAGCAGAGATTCCTTGCGCTGAATTGCCTTTGTTAGAATTTTAAAAAAAGGGTCAGGGCAGTAAGCAGAAATTCTTTGAGTTCTACTAAAAACTCCTAGAAATTTTCTTATAAAAGATTTTTATTGGGGTAACTAACAGTGATCATTAAAGATCTTAAACACAAAATGTTACAGTATTCAATTAAATTTAAAATATTAAAATTCGGACTACCTATCATACAATTTTTCAAAAATTTAAATACAACCTCACCTCCGCTTAAAGTTGTTGTTCTCGAACATGTTCTCGCTGTCGGGCGTCAACGACCAGAAGTTGCCCTTAGAATACCGTAGTCGCGCGGGGAAAAAAGGCTGCCAAATGGGGGAATTACCTTACGGTCGCTCGTTGAACTGATGCCATCGCGGGGCTTCTTCACGAAACAGTCGTTTAGGGAGAGGTTGTGCCTAAAAACTCGTATTACGCTGAGATACGGCCCTCTCTCTCTTCGCTCTCTAGCGCTCTCTCTCACTCTCTCTTCGCTTTCTCTCTCTCTCTCTCGCTCTCTCTCACCTGATCGAATTCTGCCACCCCTGCTTCCTTTTCGAGTCTGCTAGCCGGTAATACTCGTAGTTGTTCTCGATCCACTGAAAAAGCGGGGGTTTCTCGGAATTTTTTACACGCGTTGCGATTGCGTCACATACGTTTGGGAATTACTAGCCAGCAGCCCAAAATATAGCGACACGCGGCGCGTATGCTACAATGCCAAGACCCAGCGCTACACGTGACGCGTCCGCAACGCGTAATGAGAAAAAGCTACGCGCGACGCATTCGCGTGTTCAAGACTTTTACGCAACGCGACCGCAACGGATGACCGAAGCGGCCGAAGACGCAAGTTGATATGCGACACACCAGCGCTATGCGCTTCCGCACGCACGCGCAGCGCTTCCCGATGCCGAGATCTAAACGCGACGCGCCCGCAACGCGTTCAAGGCCTTATGTTCAATTTTTCAAGCTATAGTGTGACCATTTTTTTCTAACTTTCCCATTTCAACACTTAAATTCCGCGACTGTCCCCTGGAAATCGGGGGCCGCGAGAGCGGACAGAGCGGGGGCAAAATGTTTTGTCTTCGGAGCGAAATGCCGAATCATCTTCGTTTCCTCCCCCCGGCTTCTCCCCCTTCTCAATCGATTGACAGTCCCTCCCGGAAAAGAAATATAACAATTTTGTGTTTCCCAACAAATTGTGCAACTTTTTGTAGCCAGTTGAATGGGAAGAAGGGGAAATATAAATATTCCGATTTGTTTATTTTTCGAACAGTGAGAAAATCAACAGAGCTGCCATAATTCAGAAAACCCAGAAAAACCCGGGAAGTTGTGTTCTAGGGTTTAAACGGGACCCGAAAATCGTAGCTAGCTTTCCCAAATTTACTAGAATTCTGGCTTCTGAGCACCTTTAAAATTCGGATATGGCCAAATAACGGTACGATAATTTTACAGGGTAACCCATGGCTGATTTTTGCCTTCCAAGTCTCTTAAAATCACCAGGCCATGCCCATTTTTGTAGAAAATTTTCATTGTGTGCTCTTACCTTATAAATCTGCGACAGCGTCATCTTCTTCTCCGCCGTACTGGAGATGGCCATGTAGATGAGGGCCACGTAGGAATATGGCGGCTTGTTGTCGTCGTGGTTCTAAAAAATCCTTTTTTCTATCCGGAAGTCGTTCACGAGGTTTGCCGGATGCCAAACTTGTAGAAGTTTACTTTTAAGGACTCCACGCATTCAATAATACTTTTTCCAAAAGACCAAAAGGTGAGTTTATATAAACGCGAAATTCATTTATTTTGGCTATGACTTTTTGCCTTCGACGGCTATTTAAAGCTTTCCATTTATGGAACTTTTAAAAGCAGGAAAAACGGATTTTCCTGGCCGTCACGAATGTCGATTATTTTGAAATCAAAAATTTTTGTCTTCCCGGTCCCTTTAAAATCCTTGCGTTCATCGAAAATTTAACGCAAGAAAAACCTGATTTTGCTGAAATTACCGTACCTTGGCGCCGTACTGTATATTTCGGGGCGGCCGCTGGAAAAGTGGGTTATCGCGGTGGCTGAAAAAAAATTGGGTTTTGTAGGTTACGGTATTTGAAAAAGTCCAGGCCGGGATTACCTTGACTTTTCTCTAAAAATCATCATGATTTCGATCCCCCATTTTTCAGTGCAATAATTCTGCTTTCCTGTGCGTTTAAAGGAACTAGGAAGCGCCAGAATCAACCCCCACCGACTGGACCTAGACTGCTACGAGAGGCTCCAAATGGCGCGTGACAGTCTTGATCTTGTAATCCACTACGGGCGCTACTTATAAGCAGAAATCAACAAAATTTCACGCGTAATTCGGAGCCTCGATTAGCTGTCGAGACCTAGGCGATGAAGGGGTCGATTTTTGCGTTTCCCGGACCATTTAAAGGAACGGTAATTTTATCTGAGGATTTTCTACAGATTTTGTCGGCCGCCCGCGGCACGCAACGCGTAGGAAACGCCGCCTTTCTTAAGCGATCGTACTCTAGAACGTGCCTAAGCGTTGCGTCTCGCTACCGCGGAGAACTTGGTAACCTTGCCAGTCCCTTTAAAACCTTCTCACATACCTGTAACCAGGGTCCATTCCTTCAATATATTTCCCCCGAGCCGGCCGAGCAACAAAATTTCCAAAATATTTCCAAAGCCGTAGGAAAATAAGAAAACTTCAGGAGGGGTGGAAGCGGAGAAATGGGGTGCTGGCCATTTCAGCCGGCCCCCATGGCCTTCCGTACAGTGCCCCCATCTTTCTCTCTCTCTCTCTCTCTCTCTCTCTCTCTCTCTCTCTCTCTCGCTGGTGCGCTGACGCACGCTCCGGCTACCGTACCCCCCGACGCGCGTGGCCAAATCGGGGGCCGGGAGTCCATCACCCCCTTTTGTTTCTGCCCCCGTTTTTTGACTTGTATAGTATTTTGTAGTTGTCATTTTTAATATCTTTAATATCTTAAGAGCTATTTTTCGAACTTGGGGAAAATACAACTTTTTTCATGTTTATCACACCTTAAAAGTTTATTCAATTTAATTTTGTAGTTCCGAAACTAGAAACTACGGTTTAAAGGAGTTATGAATGCAAATATCTTAAGAAAAATACAGTAGCTGCAGAAAATGAGTGTTGCCAGATATGTTTTTCATTTTTTAACTTTAGACATTTTAACTTCAAATTTTAACTTTTATTTTGGGCTACTTTTTATCAAATTTTTGCATTATTGATAAACATAGAAATTCCCAAATTTCCGTAGCTCCGACCAATCCCCGCCTGTCCTACCGTAACCGGAAACGGGCCGAATTGCTCTATTCACGCCCAGAAATCGAAATGAATTTCCTAGATTTCACAACGATCTTTTTTTCTAAGCATAAAGTTCTATCTCAAATACGTTCATGCTCAAATTTGGGCCTAAGCCCTAGCTTAAGCCTCAGGATTTTTGAAATACCTACCTATCCTCGTCCGGCGCTTCAAATTTGACCTGCATCGGGTTCCACAGCATCGGTAATTGATGGTGCAGTGTCGCATGGTGACTGGCCATTCCGATGCTGGCTTCAAACTACCTTAAAAATAGAGTTATACAAGCTAGCAGATATCTTTTGAGGAAGGATTGGATTTTCGGCAAGCTAGCAGAGAACCTTTGGGAAGGACTACGGCTCTGGATCGTCTTTACCAGGCAAGGCAGGCTAGCTGGGGTCTTTTGGGAATCTGTGGAGTTGGGTGGGCTAGCAGAGAATCTTTATGGAAAGTCCGGAAGCGCTGGCTAGCATTAAAGATCAGGAACTTGTGGCTATCAGCAGTTGCATGAAAACATTTTGTATGGGCAGAGGGGGACGGCAAGCTAGCAAAGATCATTGGGGGAAATCAGTCCTACGAAAAAAACGCTGCCAAATGTTTGTGCAGCTAGCAGAGATCATTGAGGAGCACTGGTTATGAGACTTATAGTCATTTATGAGCTTCTAGCACTTGAAAATGTCCAAAGAAGTGACCAGCTTGTCGGGTTTCTTGGAGAAAAACAGAGAACAAGACATGCATGCGTCGAAATTTGGCTGACCAGACCCTTTAAAGGTTTGTATATTTTCGAATGAAATTGAGAAAAAGAAATTTACAATTAATATTTTAATTCGGAAAGTTTGATAGAACGATTTTCACCTATTTTCGTCAAATTAATTAAATTGCTGCCAGAGTAGCGCCAGCAGAGAATCTTTAGGAAAAGTCCAGACTCTTTAAAAGTATCCAAGATTAACAGTACAAAATTGAACTGTGGAGGGCACGAAAAGCCAGATGGTGCGATTCGATGTGTTCAGTTGAAAAAGATGACCAAAGGTGATATCTGATGGGAAATACAGCGGGAAAGGGGGAAGGAGAGGCCAGATCGGAGGGCCCGATAGAAGGAGAAAGGGGCTTCTGTAGGTCTGTATGTCCCTCTGTCCGACTGTCGGTCACCCCCCTTGCCATCATGGTGACTACAGCTTCAACCCTCATGGGAATGATTTCTTTCCCTCTGTCTCTCTGTCTGTCTCTCTCGCTATCTCCCGCTCTCGCTCACTCTCTCTCGCTCTATCTCCTCTCTCTTTCTCGCTTTCTTTCGCTCTCTCGCTCTCGCTCTCGCTCACTTTCTCTCTCGCTCTCGCTCACTCTCTCTCTTTCTCTCTCTCTCTCTCTTGCAGGTTTTCGCCCACCTTAAATAATTTAGCCGATGTATTTCCAACCGAAGCAGACAGACTAGCAAAGATCCTTGGGGAAGCTTCCAAGAGCCAGCTTTAAAGCTATCTTAAAGGAAAATACAAGTGCTAGAATCGACCATACAAACGACTGGGTCTCGACAGATACGCAACGCTCCAAATGACACATTAACTCACTCAACTTGAGAGCTGCTCTCCAATGAGGTTTAAGCAAAAAAAAATCCTGCTTTTCCTTCATGCGAAATTTGGATCATTGTGTAGCTGTCTAGACCCAGTAGAAGCCAGGGGTTGATTCTAGCACTTTCTAGGCCATTTAAGGGACTTGGACAGCAAGATCCTCCTTTCCTCTATGAAGCCATGCCTTGCGAGTTCCTTTAAAATCCGAGCTTCTACTAGCCGTCGATAGTACGAAGCGTACTATATAACCCGGTGGGTTCGGTAGTCACTTGGTGTCTTGCGGTGGAGGGCCAGGGGGGAGGTGATGACTAATCGTGAGGAGGGAATGGCCCGTAGTCAAGGAGAAGAGGAGGGGATGGCCTTTGCCCCCTCGATAGACCGCCCGAGACGGTAGCGGCGGGGGCAATTCTCAGCTATACATACTGGCTGTGTAACATTTCGACACGGGTTTAAGGCTATGTTTTGAGGGCCGTACTGTCGTTGGAGATTTCCTAGATTTTCAGGCAGTTTCGGGGTATCATAAAATCGCTCCGTTCGTGTCTAAAAAGTGAAATTCTCTATGAATTTAAAGGGCTTGGAAAACGGCCTTGAATTCCCCAAGAATCCCTGCTAGTTGGTCTCTTTCCACGATCAAAATACACAAAGAAAGGCATAATCCTTAAGAATCTCTGCTCGTTTTCCCAGCTAGCTGTTGCGAAGGTTTGGACAAACAAAAATTTACCAAAAGCCTATAAATCAGCAAAGAATCTCTGCTAGCTTGCCAAGGGACTTATTGTCAGACATCGCTTAAAAAGACGAAATTTACAAAATCGAAAATTTGAAAAATCCTAAAGAATCTCTGCTAGTTACCGACCAAGATAAATCAGAAAACAAATGTTTTCAACCATGCAAATAGCATAAGAACTATTATGCAATAATAAATAGAAAATAAACAATCCTCCAGGGAATGTGATGAATTCTAGACTGTCGATTCCCTGTCCGACCCCCTGATTCATCAACCCTCATCGAAAATTCCACAAGAAATCGTGCCCCGGGGCGTACAAAAAGGGGCGTGGCCTCGCATTTCATTAGAAGAATACGGGCAGAAGCTATCTAAGCTTCAGAAAAATACCTACAATTCTTTGCAATAAAATCCATAAAAATAGACGTAAAAACGTGTTTACAAAATTTTTATTTCTCGAAAACAAAGCTAAAAAATAATAAACAAATTGCCGTCATTTCAGGGCCATCCAAAAGGTCGCTACTACGTCCAAAATGAAACGGTGCACTTTGCAAGGAATCACAAAGCCGATGCGAAACTTCAGTTTAGTCGGTAAGTGGCTTTAAAGAGATGCGGAAGTCAAAAATTTCCACCAGGGGTTTCTGCCACAACGCTCTCTTTGCTGGTTACGCTTTGCGACACTTTTTTTCCTGTTTGTCCTGTTTTCCGCAATGAATCCCCGCTAGCTATCCACGAACCTGAAAATGCTGCCCAGAGGAGACCTATACATCAATTTTCAATCCAATTTCCGCAAAGAATCTCTGCCATCACCCCTTCCTAGAATTGAGAACGTGTAATCGGAATATTACGGTAATCCCCATTTTCAGTGATCAAATTCACTTCGAGCCCGCCCAAATCATCCCCGCCCACGAGCTGGTGGCCAAGCTGAAGCAACGTAAGGAGGAGCAGGACGTACATCCGGCTGATCGGGCCGCCGAAGGTGGGATTTTCAAAATATCTCTCTCTCACTCTCTCTCACTCTCTCTCACTCTCTCTCTCTGTCCCTCGCTCGCTCTATATATCTTCTATGCTAATTTTATCTATTTCAGACGACTACGTCAACGAAAAACCCGACGAGAACGAGAAGGACTACAAGGAACACTAAATTACGCACCGATTATCGATTTTTCCAGTCATTTTTTTTGAGATTTTCTCGAGATTTCCCTGCCTTCCATACATTCAGTCCGACGCACGACGGGTTGAACTTATTTAAAATGAACTAAAAAAATTCATTTTACGTTTTTGCCGTTTTTCAGATCATTTTCTAGTGCTGAATTCTCACTTGTAGTGTTTCTTTTCTGGTTCTTTTTAAGTGTGCTAGGCACATATCACATTATATAATAATTATTGTAAAATGTCAAGTAATTCTATGAATTTATGCATCTATTTTTTCTATTATTTTCGTGTGCATATTATAGTCAAAATATTGCCCAGTCACCGTGTCATAATACCCCCACCCACACAATATTACTTGCCTTGATCGAGTTTTAATAAATTATTTTTTATTTATTAAATTTTTCGGTGTTTAGCAAAATTTACAAACGGATTCAACAAGAAAACAGGTTAATTCTGTAGGTTTTGGATGCGGTATTTCTTGCTCTCTCGCCCTCTCAAGTGCGCTCTCTCCCTCTCGCAGTCTATAGCTCTTTCTCTCTCTCCCTCCCTCTCTCTCTCTCTCTCTCTCTCTCTCTCTCTCTCTCTTTCTGACTTTCTCTCTCTCTCACCTCTCACTCTCGCACTCTCTATCTTTTTCTCACTCTCACACTCTCGCACTCTCTCACACCTCACTCTCACTCGGTCTCTCGCTATCTCGGTCTCTCTCCCTATCTCTGGCTCTCTCCCTATCGCCTTCTCTCTCACTCTATCATTCTAGCACTCTATCACTCTCTATCTCCCTCACTCTCACGGTCTCTCTCCGCCTTGTCTCTCTCTCTTTTTCTCTCTCTATCTCACTCTCTCACTTTCTCGCTCGCTTTCTCTGGCTCTCTGAGATTTTCTCGATTTCAGCGCGCTTTTTTGATGGCTTTACTAAAAATACTAACAAAATAGAAAGCACGCTTTATCCGGATGGAGCAATAAATATCGTGCTCCATAAGTTACATTAAACACCAATAAATTATATTGCCGATAGTTTGTCGTATCGTCTCTTTTTCTCTGTCTCTCTCCATCTATCCCCGATGCTTGCGGTTCTTGCGTCCGCGGCGACGATTGTTGCGCTGACGGCGGGCGAGACGCTTCTGCTCACGGCGCTAAAAAATGGAAAATGAGGTTTGGGAGTACGGTAGGTTACGGTAGAAGAGAACAGCCGATAGGTATTACGGTTCCAGGTTCAAGTAAAAATACCGTAGCTTAAGGTGTTGCGGGATATATTGAAATACCTTTTTGAAGGCTGGGTAAACGCTATAACTCATTATCGTATGATGGTTATGCCGCTATTATGGAAATTTAGAATTGCGACGCTCTACTACGGTATCATGCGGTAGGGTTTACGTTTCGAAACTACTGCCGTAAACCGGTAAGTTTAGCATACCATGTTTTGTAGGCTAAGCTACGCTACTAGTACGCTTTTTCCTGCGCATTCGTTTAGGTATTCGTATTCGTTGTTTAGGTAGACTACGCGAGGATACGTACTGCCGCGTTGCTTTTGATTGACTACGCTTTGCTACACATCACTACGATCCGCTACGCTTGGCTACGATGCTACGCTTAGCTACGATTCGCTACGTATCGCTGCGTATCGCTACGCTTCGAGCTTATAAATGCAGTACACCATAAAAACTAATGTTTACTAATTTTTCAAAATTTAAGGCCGGATGCAATAGCCTACGGTAGAATACGTACTACTTTCTATGTTTTCCAGGCTACCATATCATACGGTAGGCCTAGGGTGTCAAAACGCGTCTCATGTATCCAAGAAAATTCATAAAAACACCACACCTTAGCAGCAGCCCTCCTCATCGCCATGCGCCTGCGGGTGGCCTTGCGCACGCGGGCGGCATGCGCGACGCGTTTCGCGTGCGCGCGGCGCTTGGCGGCGACGGCACGGCGGGCGGCTGCGCGACGTTGGGCGGCCTGAATTTTGACTTGTCCCGCCCTTGAAACTACAGTACCTTGGCACGACGGCGAGCGGCGGCGGCCTTGCGCTGGTTGTGGAGTCGCACTTGGCGGTAGGCGGCCTTGCGTTGCTAAACGGATTGAAGGTCGATTCTCGCTCTTTCACTTTCTCTCTCTCTCTCTCTCTCTCTCTCTCTCTCTTTCTCTCTCTCTCACCTCCAAATCATTGGCCTCTGCCTCCTTCCTCTTGAGCTCATCAACCCGTGCGGCGGCGCGGGCCTCGAGTTTGGCCAGCTCGAGCTGGGCCGCGAACTGAAATTTTTCATAAGAAGCTGTTCGACCTGAATTTTTCTTACAGGGCTATTCGGTGAGGGAGTGATCTCGGGTTCCTCCTCGGCGTAAGTGATGGCCACGAGGGCCGCGACGGTGAGGAACAACAAGCCCCACCTCATCCTGATAGCGGATTGGTGATAGTGGGAGACAGCTATCGAGAAACCGACGAAGAGAGAGTGAGAGCGATAGAGAGAGAGAGGGAGAGTGTGCGCGAGAAAGAGAAAGAGAGCGATCTGGAGAAAGGCGGAGAGAGCTGAAGAATTTCTATACGGATCTCTGCTAGGCGAGACGGATTGCCAAGGGGTCTTTGCTAGCTCTCTGAAATAGAAAACGTGGCTGCGAGAGAGAAAGCGAAAGAGGGAGAGAGAGAGAGAGAGAGAGAGAGAGAGAGAGAGAGAGAGAGAGAGAGAGTTAGACAGGGCGAAGAAAGAGAGAGTCAGGAGACGAGAGGGAGTGAGCGAGCGAGAGAGCAGGAAAAGAAAGAAAATGGCGAGAGAGCGACGAAAAATTCTGGAACAAAAATGACAAAAAACTGCGATTATCGGGATACAGTAGGAAATAGAAATATCTAAATTCTGTGAAGTAGGTCCTATGAATACCATGAGTACGTATTAAAAGTGTTGCGAACATTGGCGCCATACAAGGAGGGGGCAAGCCGGGGGCTGGGACTGTCTTTGGGCGATGTTGTGTTGAGGAGAGGAACGGAACCGACGGCTTTTATCCGATCGCCCTGGGGGCCGGTCTTTTTGCCATGTAAAGGAAGAAGGACAAAGAGACAGACAGACAGAGATGGCAAGAACTAACAAACTAGTAATGAATGCGGATCGCGCGGATAAGGAATGAAGGGGAAGATCCAGAAAAACATGGACCGATGAACAGAAAAACATCAAGTCAAGTAGGGGCTGATGCAAGAGAAAGAGAGAGAGAGAGAGAGAGAGAGAGAGAGAGAGAGAGAGAGGCAGACCTTAAATCCCGAAAATACAGAAGACCAGGAAGTCGAGTCGACTCGGGTTGCTTTACAGGACCTTGGTGTCTATGACTTCGCCTTATCTATTGTCGAAAGTAACGAACAAAATGCTTCGATTTGCAGGGAACTTTCGGCACTTACCTTCATTTTTGAATCGGTGTGTATTTAGCGTTTGTGGATTTTTTGTAAGTGCAGAGCCGTAGAAACTAACTTTTTTGTCGCTTTGTTAGTCAACAAAAGTCGTTAATCTCCCAATCTTAAACCGCTCTCACCTCTCAAAAATACGAGTTTTCTCGCAGTTTCCGGTTCCGCGTCCGGCATTGTACCTTCGTGGGGTAATGTAATGTCCCCGAGGGCAAATGCCAAAGATGTAGATCTTTATCCGACCAATGAAGCAAGGGCAGCGATCTGTGTCGACGAACGGGGGTACGCTTTGTCGAGTCTTGGCATGAAGCCAAAACAATGCGAAGAATTTCTGCTAGCTTGCCAATAATCTCCAAAAATTGAGACTGAGCTGCTCAAACCAACAAAGCCTGTAAAGCTCGAATCAGCTTTGGCTAAACGACCACCATGTCGTGGAAATAATTTTTTGTTTTTGTTATTTCTTTTCCTTGTAAAGGGGGGGGAACATTTATGTCCGTTTGTGAGTGGCTCTCAATGGTTTCTGCCAGCCTGCCCTTGCACCTGAAACAATTTGAAGAACCTTTAGGACAAGGCATTCGGTAATTTATTTCCTCCAAGAATCCCTGCTAGCATGCCCGAGGGTCCCGTTCAGCCTATGCCTTTCCTTTCGTGTCCTTTCCTCACGGATCTCTGTCATCCCGCCTAGGGAGCCATCCTTTAAAAAGTCCTTTAAAAAGTTTTAGAAAACTTTAGGTTATTTCCTCCTGGTTTAGCTTAAGGTATGTCAAGTGTTTTCGTTAAGGATCCGTAAGGTTTTCCTCTTAAAGTACCTCAAAGCTAATTGAAGGCTATAACTCGTTCTTCCAGCTGCATTAGCAATGCCTGTCGGACTCCCTTTTTTTGTGCTACGGCCCGGTATAAAAACAAGCTGTAGCCTAGCCAGTTCCCACAGTCCGCAACTATCCGATTGTTCTCTAGAGACAAAAGATGCTGTAGAGTAACTGGTTCTTTAGCGTACCCCGCAGCTTAATGAGAGCACCCCCCCCAAGGATCTGCCAGACAAGCAGATTTGGATCTTAACGGGATTCGGAAGTCTGGGAGTCGGAATGGCATCCCTTGTGGATCTTGTCGCGGCGTGCTTGCTACGCTTCCCGTAATTTGATTGTGTAATGGACCTCTTCTCGACAAGACCTCGTTGCTTGGCACGCAGGAGGTGTAAATTTTATTGCACGACAAATCGAAACAGATCACTTATCAGGTGCTAAAAGGTACATGCAATCCGCAGTTCAAACTCGGCATCAAGCGTATGCCCTTATTCCATTAGCGCAACACCACAGGGGGAAAGATGAAGAGAAAGATACCACCAGATCGCAGATCGAATTTAAGCAGTGTTCCAAAAAAATCTGACAGAAAGGGAAATTGGAACAGGAACTTGCCCGTTTCTTAAGGGGGAATCACTTGGGACAATTTGGGTGCAAGCGATTCCACAGACTAGACTAGATTAGGCTTAAAGTGCTTTTGGGGGTTTTGGACGTTTTGGACGTGGACGTGGATGAAACAAATCGAAAATTTATGCCGTGCGGGGTTTTTTAAAAAGCTTTTTTGCTAATTGGAACTTGGGCAAT